GAAGGACTGCCCCTCTGCACCATCAGGGCTGGCTGTGCATGCTTGACAAAATGGCATGAAAAATCTACTTTGCAAGAGGCTGCAGCAGGTTAGCTGTAAAGGGAGCAGGTTGAGACCCCTCATTCTCTTTCCCCTCTCTCTTTCACTCTCATTGTTTACCCAGCTCCAGACCATCCACAGAACAGGACCAATATGGGATCTAGGAACTGGTGATATTCTCTGTTGTTTATCTCTCTTCTCTGCCTTTATTTCTGCCCTCCCTCACCCTCCTGGGCAAAGCAGCTGTCCTGTTCTACTCCATTCTAGGTACCAAAGTTTGCTGTGGGAGCGTGTTGTGGCTTGTCAGCCAGCACCTTAGAGAAGTTTGTTGTGGGAGCTGGGAACTTATCAGGTGTACTGTAAAAACTTAGGGCTCATTAGCCAGCACTTTTTCGTGTTTTCATGATACACAAGAAGTGTACCGTAAGATTTAAGAGCTTGTTGAGCAAAACTTTAAGATTCCAAAGAGTAGTCTAGTTGCAGAAGCTAAGACGGCTGTACAATAAAGCACAAGAACTCTCTGACACCTCTCTGGTGTCTTTATTAAGCATGACAAGAATTTGCAACAAACTTCATGCCCCATTCTGATGGGTTGGCACAATGACCCCAAACTCCACAAAACACCTTAGAAAGGGACATCCCAAAAAACAACCCACTACAGGCAGTGCTGCAATCTCTCTATCAGGAGAAATGCAAGTCTTTTTATACATCAAAAGCAGCGAGTACACCCTCCTAGCCCTTTGAGAAACACAGTAGAGTTTATTCTGAAAAGAAAATAGTGTCAGAGAAACAACTCTGTTTCCATTTTTTTGAACTTAGAAAAGAAAACTGACAATATTTGACAATTGAGTTGTCCGTTCTCCATGCTGTTAGTGGAATTTTAGTTAAAATCATTGATTCTCTTTGCCTATTACTTTAAAATATTTTTCCTTTAAAAAAATTAAAATAGTTGCCTCTCGCCTTTTATTCCAAAATACTATAAAATAATAACATTTCTAAAACTATTTTTCCTCCTTCCTGAGAAGATGGTGTTCTTCTCTCTTATTACAAGGCAATACGGCTTATAAAACTTGCTCACAAAATTGGTCCTTCTGCTGTTAAACCTCCAGTTCCCCATTATAGCTCCCATTCAGCACTATCACATTAATTTCTTTGTGCAAGAAGTCATTTTTAGTCTATTCTCCTGGCATAGTGTATGTACTTGACATATAATCTCAGTAAATTTTCTCAAACTGGGCAACTCCAGAACTTGTTTTATTAGGAAATGAAGAGTATTGCTTTATAACATGCTTTTCCAAGATGTAATAGTGGCTGGGGCAAAAGCTATTACTTTCCCCCTTCAATAATATTATCTATAGCAATGAATTGTTCTTGAAAAAAATTATTTGATTGGGACATAAAAATAAAATTTTGACTCAGGATCAAGTTAGCCCAGACCTTGTTTGTCTGCCAGAAAATTTACTCTCTGCAGGTTGCCCTGGCTGACATCAGGTAGCACAGAGAAACCAGAGCCGAGCAGATATGCCAGTGGCTGGACAGAGAGGAACCCTGGAGACAGGCTGAGGGCATGGCCCTGCATCAAGACCAGCTGCCTCTGCTGGCCACTGTGCCTTTGGCATCTGCTGCCCTGCAGGAAGAAAGCACTACCCACCGTGAGACTGTGTGAGGGAAATAATTTATTTCCTTTTCCTTCAATGAAGATTTGTGAGAGCCCTGCTGGAGTTGCCAGTGGTTTGACCTCTTGCAGGGCTGGGGAGAGTCCTAGCAGCTGAGGACCCTTCTCTTAACAGGGTGCAAGGGTCCCCACAGCAATTAGTCCCAGGACAGGAGTGGAGGGGCTGAAGCTGCTGCCCTGGGCAGAGGGACCTGGGCAGAACGAACTGCCATGGCTCCTCCTGGGTCAGGTCCCACTCCATGGGGACAGGCACAGGTAGGGGTTTGCTGGGGCCGCCAGGGAAAGCATCCTCCAATGTGCCATCTTCCTCCTCCACATCATGGACTTTGGGGCCTTGGGCAGGAGCCCCTCTCCAGGAGCTGCTGGTCAGGAAGCAGCTGGAGCTGGTGCAGCTGGAGCTGAAGCTGAAGCTGGAGCTGGAGCTGGAACTGGCACTGGCCACAGGACCGTTCTCTTCCCTGATGGCACCAGAGCGCAGTAGCCTCTGGACCTCCTTGCCACACTGGCCCACGATGATGCTGATGACGCCATACACCAGTCGGAGCCATCTGGTGCTCAAGGACAGGCTGCAGCCCCTGGACCAACACCTCGGCATTCAGTGCCTTGATGCACAGGTCCTGCAGGATGGAGCTCTCTGTGGCCTCAACCAGCCACCACCAGCGCCAGAATATCCCCTCCAGCTGCTGGCACAGCCAGGACCACACGGGCTCCAGTAGCTGCAGTGGTCCAGCAAAGTCTGGCCCACACCTCAGGCAAGAGGCCACCCACGAACTCCAGCCCTGAGGGGCCCTGCTCAGCTGGGGACAGTGTCCCCCATGGAGCAGATGGACAGGACATCAGCGGGCCATGGTGGCTGTCCTTGTCCAGGTGGCCAGGAGCTCTCCCTGCTTGGCTGGTGGCCACTGGGAGCTGCCCAGGGGCAGTGCTGGCCTTCAGATACTTGTCTGCAAGGTCAGAAAGCATGACTACTGCATCATGCAATAGCATGGCCTGAGAGTGACCAGCACTTCCTCAGCCTGGAGTGCACAATAAAAACTTTAAGCAGATTAAAGACAAGGGACAGGTCTTTGGTGCTTCAGGAAGGATTTATTCAGAGGGTTCAGGGTTTAGAGGAAGGTCCAGGGTTATATATGGGTAAGAGGGGGAGGCTTGGAGGGTCAGGGTCCAATGGGAACAGGGAAAAATGGTGTGGAGACGGGGTTAGGGACAGGAACAACCAATGGGAAAACAGGGGTGGAGGAATGCACCAAAATAGGGCCAATGGGAGTCCAAGGGAGGGAGTATGTTCTGGAGGGAATTCATAAATGGTAAACAGGGGCTGAACAGTTTGACATAAACTTGACAAGCCAATGGGGGAACAAACAACGCTACATTAACATGTAAGTATGAAGATCTGTGGGAGAGAGGCCTTCTCTCACCCCATCCTTGGGAGGTGTTAATTGTTGCCTCCTTTCCAAGATTGCGAAATGGGGACTTTAGTCATAGACCCTTGGGCCTCCACACCTCACAGTCTTTATTAGTGTCCTGCAGAGTGGGCAGAAGGGATTTCTGTGTGCCCACTGCAGAATGCAGCCTTGGCAGAAGCAGTGGCGACAGGAAAGAGCAGAAGTAACATCCTCCTGAGAGTCCTGGCATATTGAGGCAGTTGCCATCTGTCTCTGTGACCATATCAGGAGTAATGGCTCCAGGACTGTCAGCTAGATCTGCCAAGAACAGGCCATGGCCAGCACCAGAGAGGCCTGGCTTGATCCTCTCGGCTTCACAGTCTCGCTCAGCAGGAATTCAGGGCCAGAGTGGTCCTGCCAATGTCTGGATGGAAGCAGTGAGTGGCACAATGTCACAATCCATCCCCCTGTGATGACACAGTTCACTGCTCTGTGACAGTAGCCTCCACCCCCAGTGACAACACAAAAGGCATTCCAAGTCCTTGGGACCCCAAGATAAGCAGTGAGGGACATGAGGTCTCAATCCAGTGCTCAGTGATGTCACCATTTGCACATCAGGCTCCTCAACACTGTGATAACACAGCAGGCCTTCCATCCCTGCAAGTACGCATTGTCAGGAGAAAAAAGGAAATCCTGTTTTCTAATTTAATTTTCTACATCTCCATGTCCCTCTTCCTCAGCCACCTGCATCACATGTCCTGGGCCCCATCTCTAATCCCTGCTCCTGACACCTTGCCATGGTTTTCTGGGGACAGTCCTGGTCAATATTCACAGGACCTCTCATCTGCCTCCTGCGAGAGGCAATCACATCCAGGCCTCTCAGGCCAGGCTCTGCACAAGACTTTTTCCCTTTTGGTTTAAAGTTCAAAGTTTGTGCTCTCTGCAGCCCTCTTGGATCAAGGGTGATAGAGACAAGGACCCTTTGCACCTGTGCTTAGGACTGTGGAACTGTTCTGCCTTGCTTGCTCTGTAAAATAGGTCCTACCTACGGGGGCTCCAAACCCAGGAAGAAATTCTCTCAGCCTTCTGTTTTGGCAGCAGTTCTTTCATTGGCACAATGACAAGACCAGGCCGCCATCCTGGGAGCATTCCTGAGGTGACAAGGACACACTCCAAAGGACATGTGTGAGAGCCTGAACAAAGGAAATCTGCAAATACTCAATGGTGCCCCAGGGTGCAGCTCTGCTTTTCTCCTCCTGCCTTTGCTGAGTTAGTTGTCTTCCCCAGGGGAATCCTGAAGAATGGGAAGAGCACTGTGCCAGCAAGGTGCAGTCTGACACTCATTGCTGACCAAACAAAAGCCTCTTTGTGTCATTCAAGCTACAGAACAGTGGGAATAAATAAAAAACCTGTCTGAATCAGTGCAACCAGGCCCCAAGAAGAGTTAGGGCCTGCCTCTCTGCATGGTTGTGGGACAGTTCATGGAAAACTTTGATCAAAGGAGCAGCAGTGGAAGCTTGGCATTAGGACAAAGTTGAGTTTTTTCAAAGATTAGGATGCTGCAATTGAATTCCCAGTTCCAACACTGCTGTTGATCCCAAAATGGGAAGTGCTGTTGAGGGACTAGAGGCCATGCAGAGAGGTCCATAGTGGAGCATTCGTAAATCATTCTGTGTTGAGACCAGCTACCCCTGCTGCCCACTCTCTCTTTTGCATTGGCTACCCTGCAGGTGTTCAGCTGTAGCAGATTTCTTGTGGAAAAAGTGCTGCCCACATGGGCCTTTGGCTGTGCTGCTCAGGACATGGGTGCCACCCATGGTGGGGCACAAGGGTAAGGGCAAAGGCACCAGAAGGCTAAGGAAGCAATGCCCAGAGACAGTGTAAGGGAAATAACTTTTTTTTTTTTTTTTTTTTTTTAAGTAAAGGGTTGCAAGGGCTCTTTAGCTTTGCCAGTGGGGGGACCTCTTGTAGGTGGGGGGAGAATCCTAGGCATCAGGGCCCCTCCTCTTTGGGGGACACTGGGGACCAGAGGATCTAGGCCTACTGCTCTGGGCAGAGGGATCTGCCAACATCACACTTTCTGCTCTGGCTTCTCCTGGGGCTGGTCCTGTCCTGTGGATATGGCATCACTTGGTGGGTGGCTGTGACCCCTGGGCCTGGCAGCCTCTCCTGTGGTGGCTCCCTCCTCCTCCATGGAGACTGCAAGGCTGCTGCTGGCTGGAGTCCCCATCTGAGAGCTGGAGGAGCTGGAGCTGGAGCTGCTGCTGGCTGTTGGTCTCTCATCCTCATCTGCAGCAGCATGACAGCGCAGCAGCCTCTGTGCCCCTGAGCTACAGTGTCTCACAATGATGTCGATGGTGCCCTGGACCATTGTCACTGTGTGTTCCTCCAGGATGCTCTGCAAACTCTGGATCATGACGTCCCGGTCTGGCCCATATACACGGAGCATGTACAGGATGCAGCTCTCTGCCAGCCACCACCGCTCCCTGTACACAGTCTCTGTCCTTCGTCGCAGCCAAGTCCGCACAGGGTGCAGAAGTTCCCATCGTCGACGGAAAAGTTGTGCCCAGATCTCAGGCAGGACGTTGCCCACAGCTCTGGCTGGTGTCTCTTGAGGAGAAGAGGGATGGATCAGCACAGGGGGTTGGGGGCTGTTCTCATTCTGGCTGCCAGGAGCTCTCCTTGCCTGGCTCATGGCCACTGGCAGCTGTTCAGGGGCTTTGATGACATTGTCCAGGGACTCGCCTGCATTGTCAGAAACCCTGACAGTCTCTATTGCTATTCTGCAGAGTGGGCACACAGGATTTATCTGTGCCCACTGCAGGATGCAGCCTCGGCAGAAACAGTGGCCACAGGGCAGAGCAGAAGCCACATCATCCCAGGTGTCCTGGCAGATGGCACAGTTGCCACTCATCTCTGTGGCCATACTTGGCCTCTGCAGCACATGGGGAGAGCTGAGGACCAGGAGCTGCTCTCTGTTGCCAGTGTCACACCCTGCAGTAGAGGGGAGGAAGGAATTGCCAGGTTGCCGGAGAAGGACATCCTCCAGCCCCCTGAGCCCCATGGCTACCCTGCACAGCTCACCCTCAGTGCTGCAAACACCCACAGTGCCTGGTTGGGGCAGCCACTGGGACCTGCCAGGAAAAGACACCACTCAGCACTAGAGAAAACTGGCTCAACCCTCCATGCCTTGCAGTCATGCTTGGTAGGAGCTCAGACCAGAGCCAGACTGGCTCCAGCTCTGGCCATGTCTGAATATAAGTTGGGAGGGACGAGATGTCACAATCTGCCTCTCACTGATGTCATCCTCCATCAGCAGGCAATGACCCCATGAATGCTTGTCAGTAGAAAGTAGAAAATTTTTTTTCTTGTTTTCAACTTCTGCATTTCCATGTTGCTCTCCCTTGGCCACCTGCATCTTGTGTCCATAGCCCTGTGTCTCATCCCTGCTCCTGACATCTTATCAAGGTTTTCTGTGAGGAGCAGAGTGGTGGGACAGTCAGCATGGACTGTCTGTGGCTGGATGATGTCTCCTCCTGTTACTGCCTTTCCCTGGGCAATGCTGGGACTTGGAGAACCTGGGTGCTGGTGGCCAGCCCAGGTTGAGAGTCTCCCACCCCTGTGGATTGTGTCACCGCTTCAGGGAGAAGCAGAAAGGAATGTTTTGCTCCAGCTGCATCCGCTCCTGCTGGGACTTGCCCACAGTGCCAGGTCCCTCTCCACTTCCCAAGTTTCTGTATTTCTGGAAGCCAGTACCTTTGTGCTTCTCCCCACAACCTCAGGAAGGAGCTGGAGTTTCTGTCCCTCCAGAGTGGAGTAAAAGGGCCAGAGTAACCCTGTGATAACTAAAGAGAGCCCAGGATCCATCACCATGTGGGCCATGCTGCACAGTCGTCCCTTTCTTGCCTCTGGATATCGTCAACACTGAGGACAAGCAGTTCTTTTTTCTTTTGGAACTAACTTCTGTTAGTTTGAGGGTTAGCTGATATGTTGAGTATGCTGTGAGCAACCACAACACGACTCTGCCCTTTAAGATCTCCTCAGGTGGCAGTCCCTTTACTCTGTCCAGTGGGCTTCTCATCAGCCTTTCTGGGAGAGGCCATCATATCCTGGCAAGGGCCTGCATAATATTTTGTCCCTTTTGGTTTGAATGTCAGAGATTGTACTCTCTGCAGCCCTCCTGGATCAAGGGTGATAGAGACAAGGACCCTTTGCACCTGTGCTTAGGACTGTGGAACTGTTCTGCCTTGCTTGCCCTGTAAAATATGTCCTATCTACGGGGGCTCCAAACCCAGGAAGAAATTCTCTCAGCCTTCTGTTTTGGCAGCAGTTCTTTCATTGGCACAATGACAAGACCAGGCCGCCATCCTGGGAGCATTCCTGAGGTGGCAAGGACACACTCCAAAGGACATCGTGTGAGAGCCTGAACAAAGGAAATCTGCAAATACTCAAATGGTGCCCCAGGGTGCAGCTCTGCTTTTCTCCTTCTGCCTTTGCTGAGTTGTCCTCCCTGCCTGAATCCTGAAGAATCTGTCAGGAAAATTTATCCATGATGCCAGAGGTTTATGTCGAAAAGGAGACAGACTCCTGTAACTTTATTCAAATAAAGACAGAGGCCATTAGCATTTCCCATGGAGTCTCTCAAAATGTTGGGGGACACAGCCTCCTTTTTATCCTAAGCTCCCAGCAACATCTCCCTCTTCCTTTCCCCCACTTTCAGAAGAACATGAATCACCTGAATCACCTACTCTATGTCCCCCTCTAATATGCACCTCCATACTGTACTTGAGAGGAATGACGGGTTTGTCTTTACAAACAAGCTGTGGGTCTGCTGATGAAACTATCACTGATAACAGAAACAATGGGATGGATTCCACTGAAGGATGAAAGAGACACTGAGAAAACACCAGGAATTCCAGAAGGGTTAAGAATTAAGAAGGGGATTCTGCATTGGGTGGGGGGGAGGGGAGGTATCCCACGTATCAGGCATTCCAGGAAGTCTGTACCTCTCAAGTACCTCAGCCATAGGTAAAAGGTAAAAGCCCATAGGGAAAGGAAGAAGGGACATGCAGCTGGCAAATGAGGATAAAATGGAGGCTGCGCCCTCCAAAAATTTGAGAGACCCCAGGGGAATGCCCATGGCCTCTCCCTTTATTTGAATGAAGTAAAAGGACTCCTCTGTCTTCTTTTTGGACATAAACCTCTGGTGTTCGTGGATTAATTTTCCTGACAATTTGGGGGCTCGTCCGGGATATTTCCACCGTCCAGGGCGGCGGGCAGCGAGCGGAGCTGAAGGCGCGCCTCACCCAGTTTCGGTGATCAGCTCCCCTTGGTGGCGGCCGGCACCGAGCGATCGATTGGGTTCCCGAGACTGTCCAGGAGACAGACGAGAGGCGGACCAGGGGGGTCCGTGAAGAGTCCACAGGGAAGGACCACTGAAAATCTCACCGGTGAGTAAAATGGGATCTTTGGGGAGCAAGCCTGGGAGGGCACCCAGGGAGGGTAGCACAGGCTAAACAGAGCACCCATGGAGGGTTGCAAGGGTACAGCTGGGAAGGGGTCCTGGCAAAAGGGATGACGATCCCACAATAACCCCGGAGAGTCCCTTGGGGAGAATGCTGAGATCTTGGGACAGATTATGCATTCACCCAGAGGTAACTATGGAGATGATGGTAAAATATTGTTACTATGTATGGCCAGAGTATAAGTTGCCAAATGGACTTAAATGGCCACCTTATGGAACAGATAGAATTAATTGGTGTTGAATTCTGTGGAGGTATCTAGCAGAGAATTGGAAAGGATGGACTGAAAGGGAATGTGGATTGATATGGTTTAAACAAGCAACAGGAGAAATCTATGTGTTAAGAAAAAAAGGAGAAGAGGAAAAAGGGGGGGAAGAGGAAAACGGTGAAGACTGGGATGTTTTTCAGCACCTTCCCCCGTCTTGTCCTCCGGTGTTATCAGCTGACCCAGGGCCAGCTGCAGGTCCCTGTATCCTCACCTTCCAGAGCAAAGGGATCAGGGAAATGCTGTTTCTACAGCTCCTCCTGAAAATAACAACGGTGTAGGGGGAGGGGAGCAGCATATCATATCACCCCCTAGAACCAGAAGGGGGACTCAATTTAGGGTATCAGAAGCCCCCCGGACCCAAGAGACAGGGGTACACCAAATGCCACTCCACCAAGTCCCTTTGGGAGGTCAAGGGGGAAGATTTGGGTTTGTAATTGTACCACTTACTACCCAAGATACAAGAGGATTGAAAAAATAATTACCCCCATATTTGGATGATCCCAGAGGGGTGGGGGGAAAAGATAGAAGAATATTTGGGAAATGCAGATTGTATGTGGAAGGATTGGAATTTTCTTTTGGGGATTTTGTTTGGGTCAGAGAAACGAATGATTTTGCAGAAGGCTCAGCAGTCGTGGGAAGATGAACATCCACAGGCAGCAGAGGGGGCTGGACCTAATGCACCTCCAGTGGATGATGCCATCCCCCAGGCAGACCCCCAGTGGGACCCAAATAACCAGGCCAGTCTGACTCACCTCCACAATTATCATGCTTATTTGATTAGGGCAAGCAAATCAGTAGTTCTCAGAACTAACAACATAACAGCTAAGGCTATGTCGTTAGAACAGGACAAACATGAAAGCCCCTCTCATTGGTTAGAGAAGAGTAGGGATGCCTTGCAGAAGCATGGGGGGATGGACCCTGAAGGGGAAGCCTTTGACACATTTTTGAAAGTACAATTTGTTACTAAGGCTCAGCCTGACATAAGGAAAGGAGTACAAAAAGATCAAGAGTGGCAGAATAAGCCTCTAGAGGAATTGGTGAGAAAAACACAGCAAATATATGTAAAAATGAAGATGAAGAAAAAGTAAAAGCTAAGGCAAAGATGATGGCAGAGTTTTTGCAGCCCCAAAAGAACAAAACACATGACCGTGACTATCAGGCAAGCAGCAGGGAACAATCTCTTCTCCAGACAAGTGACGTAGACTGGCCAGTGGCCTTGTGGAATACAAATTCCATGGCTGGACTGTCCTTTTTACTATCAAGCTGCAGAAGTACTATTTAGCTGGTTAAATAAACATTACACTCACCTATGCTCCCTCTCTGTGCCAGCTCTGTTTCTGAAGTGCACGGGGCCCCGTAAATCGTACAAGGCAGTACTGCCCCACATTCCTGTGTGGGCACAGGCCTGGAAGTACTGTAAGAGGCAGGAAGAGCCTCATGCCTCCCTTGAGGCACTGTCTTGAGGAGCAATGTGTTGGGCAGTCCCAGCCTTACAGGCAGCCAGGTAGTTTTGCAAAGGTCACACTGATGGTTCATATGTGGAAGTCACCACACAGAACATAAAATGAATGCATGGGGTAAGATCCTGAAGAGGCATGAGAAAACAGGTTGAGGCTCAGACGCAGAAAAAAATCTTGGTTTAACCTAAGAATGACCACAAACAGTGCTGACAGTGATCACACCCATTCATATCAGCCTTAGAGTAAAGTATGTGAAGTACTAAGAAAAAGCCAAATAAATAAAAACAGCAGTGGTATAGAAGAAAAAGAAACAACTTGAAAGAAAGCATGAAGACTATGTTAAATGATCAAGGAAGCCTTACTGGTAATAATTTTTATTGCTTTTTAATGAAATACAGGTCTTCTAACAGTGCCTAAATTAGTGAACTATTGAAATATGACTTGGCCACAGGCCTCTGAAAGACTGAGCTTCTCAAGGTTTGAGTCACATCTTAAAGGTGAAAAATAACTGAAACTGCAAACATCAGTGGGTGCACCCAATCTCAAAAGTCTCATGCTCCTTCTTTTTTATTTAAATGAAATTAAAATAATTAAATTAAATAATAAAAACGAAAAAAATAAATTTAAACTAATTAAAAATAATTACTGTTAAATAAATACCATTAAATAAAAATTAACATTTCCAGCTGCCTAGTTGTTTGTATGAATATATTCAGCTCACTTGCACTGTGGATGTAGAAGTACACTTAAGGAGCCTTTCAACATATTTGGAATTAGTATTTTTTGTAACTGACCTGCAAGACCGATTAATTAACATTTATATTCTCAAACCTTTCACTGGGTAGAGAAAGCTTTAACTGTAAACTGTCTGTAACTTAACTGCAACTTAAAACTGTCTGCTATGCTATTTTAAACCCACATGAGGTCCATTGTTTCAAACTTTGGTTTGAACTTAACTGTATTTTTAAGTATCAACTGCACACTACTCTAAAAAAAAAACAACTCAGTCAAAAAACAGGCTGGCAAGTAAACACTGAAAACAAAACATTTCCCTCTTATTTTTCCACTTGTAGATGCACAGCATTACAAAAAATGTCAGGAGGTTGTTGTGTCGCCTTCTTCCTCATCTTTATTCTAGACATGCTGCTGGTTCTCATGGCTGATGTTTCAACAACCTAAACCAGCTGGAAAAAAATCAAAATGACTAGAGAATAATTAGTACCCAGTGCACCTGTCTTTCACAAGCTACAAAGGAGAGACAGTACTGTAATGATACACTGTACATGCACAGCTTTCCCTTTACCACAAAACCAGCAAGCAATGCATAAATAATTACCTCTGTCACATCACTTGGCATGCTCAGTCAGTTTTCTTCCTGACAAAGGAATACGATCCCAAAGCTCCAGCAACTGCTCTCCAACTTGTGGTTCCAGCTCCTAGAAATGATCAGGAAATGAGGGAAGTTACCTGCACTGCTACTACTGAGCTACTACTGAGCATACAGAAACTATTTATTACTGAATTGTTAGATAGGTTGCTGGTGATTGCTTTCAACCTTTCTAGAACAGCTCATCCCTATTGCTATTGGGACAAACATTAGAACTTCTACCAGAGCAAGGTTTTCTTACTGGGGCTCAGTAGGAGATAAAAACTTTCACAAGCCATCCTGGCCTACAGCCTGTTTGGGGTGTTTTTATTCACAGTGAGATGTTGGTTCTCACAAAGATAATTCCCAATGAACACGCTACCACCATACATAAGAACAGATGCACCAGATACTTTCTACCTCCCACAGATCAGTCACTTACTACTAAACATCATTTTCCACATCTTTTAAGCTGAATTCCATGAAGTGTGGTGGAGAATGTGGAAAGAGGTCACAGGAAATACAGTGGCCATCCTTTCCTTGTGCTTCTTGCCCCCAATTTCTTTAAACTGGAAAGGGGTTTTGAAGAAGAGAAGATGATACAAAAACTTAAGCTCTTGAATCATCAAGGAGATATTCTGTGAAGGGATGGGGAGAGGGCAGAAACTGCCACACAGAAATTCTGTGTCAGTTCTTTGGTTTTTTGTAGTTGCAGCTATTAGGGTGTGGCAGACTGAGAGAACACATCTCAACCAAACAAGGCACAAATCTCTAGAACTAAATTACAAACTCAAAAACACACCCAACTTCTTTTTGGAAGAATTCACCTTTAAATATTTCTTTTAACACATAAACATGAAACTGTTTTGATTTTATCAAAACAACTACATTACTTCAGCAGTAATTCTGCATTAGCTGAAAGTACAATACATCAATGAACTGTGAATTCAGATTAGCAGATATATGAACAAGTGGAGATAAATGTCAAGGCTGAACAAGCTAATAAAAAATACACAATTCTA